AGACTTTTTGTATTTTGTGTTTATTACTTGATCTATCTTAATTGCATTCCTTATTTTGGTAAATAAGTTTAAAACACATACTTGATTATGCAGGTAAGAGTCTTCTAAGAGTCACACGTGTTATAAAATAACCTATATTTTTAGACATTATTTTATTCATTATTTTAATGTGAAGAAGGAAAGAATTAATTCTTAGATATTTTATTCAAACACCTTTTCATTATAAATGAAGACCTATTCCTTTAGAAGAAAAACGTAGTTATTTATATGCAAGTAATTAAAAAATCTTGAAATACATTAATATGCTATAATTATTGTGATAACTATGGAACTTTAAGAAACACTGTTTTTACATATATGTTGCACATAAACATGTTTATAAAACTTGTTACAGAAGAAATTAAAGCATCATAGAAGAAAAACCAAAGCGAATTGTCAATAATCACATCTTTGAAAATCAATAGGAAAAAAAACATAAACTTGTTGAGTATCATTTAAAAATTTAATATTCAATGTAATAAGAAAATATCAGTTTCATATTCTCACTACTGGTTACACAATTTTTAATTTTGGATTAAAAGAACTGTAAATTGGAAGCTTAATGTGCTTTGCATACTTTTAAAATCAAATCTACAAAGTTTAGAACCAAAATTCCATAGTAATTATCAATAATATTAAATAAACATCAACTCCTGAAATTGACTATATAAGGCATTAGTGTCATGGAATATGAATTATCACACACAACTATTAGAAAATGCTAAATTTTTTTGTCTAGTTACATTTTATATCTTCTGGGTTTAGGGAGTCACATGAACCTCTTGAATTTTATCTTTGGTTCAACTTATTCTACATGATTTTTCAATATCATAAATAAAAGAAATGCAGATGTGAGCTAAAAAAAGGAATGAAGGCAAACTTCTTTTAAAAAATCCCTTTTTTTCAAATCCAGTCTAATGTCTAAATATCTCTGTCACCATCTCTTACATAAAATTACAGTGAAATATTTTTCCACCCATGTAAAGTATAAAATCTGCGGTTTGCTCCAATGACCAAAAATTCAAGCAGTAAAGAACCTGAGGTAAATAAACATATGATTATACACAGAATATTTGCCATATGTTCATCTGTGCAAATACAACATTTTTTTGCTTAAATGATTTTTAAAAACTCTCACAGGGCTAAGGAATATCACATATGTCCAATAAGTATATATCCACATTTTCATACTTTGAAATTACTGGCCAAAATGATTTAGTATTAATAATTTTCATTTCAGACTAAATTATAGACTATTAGTACAATAATTTTTCTTCTGCTGCTCACATTAAATAAGATAGAAAGTGTTAATAATAAAATAAAAATAAAGCCATCACAAGATAATCCATTTTAATAGTTATACGCATGAAGCTAGGGCAGGAAAATTAAGATGTCCAAACATGAAAAGAATAGGAAAGAAGTCTAATTACCAAATAGCTCCTATAATGATTTTCCCCAAAACTTTTATAACCAACTAGCTCCTTTCTACTGTTTGCGGCAGAATAGCACTTAAGAGAAATCATTTTCCAGAAAGTTTTGCATTTCTGTACATCACAACCCTGGCAAGACATGTCCATACTTTTTTCCTCAAGTGGGTAAATGTTAAGAGAGAAGAATCCAAGTTTCATGATGCAGCAACACAAAGCTGGGAAGTGAAAATTATGTTGCAACGGAGTCTTGAAAATATGACTGTAAAAGTTAATCAATAAAATGTCTATTCCTGTCTATTCACCGGAGGCCCCAGCTGCATAGCTTCACTCAATCGATACTACAAATTATTACGATTTCCAGGTTCCCACTGGACATTCAGAACAAATCTTTCAAGTGTAACAGGCTTATACTGAGTTTATGGTGTGTGTTCTTCACATTTAGTTCAAAAAGAGAGGAGAAAAATAAAATCTAAATCCTATATGTTCTTTAAAATAAAACATTTAGCTTTATGGAACCAGTAACTTACAAGGCATATTTTAAAGTTAAAAACAATCTTCCCTTTGATTGCCAAATGTTTTAGTACTTTTTTAACTGTTTCATGTTTAGTTAAGAAATGACTTAACTTAGTAATAGATCTTGGTGGTATTGGAACCTGGTGAGTTCTGAATGACTATTCCGAAGTAAATGAATGGAGAAAATCATTTTGAGATAATTACTTATCAAAAAGTCACTTGGATACATTACTATTAGAAAGATGAATATAGAAACCTGACATACATTTCAAATTTTAACAGGTCTCTTAAAATAGAGATTCTAGTTATTGTTTTTATGACTTATATCAGCACATTTCAAAAATTGTATTTCAGGATTTCATTTTTTTCTATTTTTATGAGATTAAAAAATCATGATTTCAGAATTGAGTTTGTCTTTTTTTTTTTTAAAGGTCCCAGAATGTTTTGCTCTTGTGAGATCCTCTGCTCTCTATAGCAAAATTCAACCATAATTGCGAACTCTAGAAACTACTCAAGCCCTTGATCTTAACTTTCTATACATTTCACCCTGCATCATTTAGTCAAAATCCGAAGACTTTTCCAAATAAAGGAATGACCAGGTAAGATAACTCACTATAATATTCTCATGCCATATGACACCTGATGTGGTTTTCTTTCTTCTTACTGGTGAATACCATGGTGCCTGGCACCGCCTAATACCAAGTCAATTGGTAAATCTGACCAATTCATGCCACCTGTTGATTGAGTAGAGAAAATGATAAAAATAAATAAATGAAGTTAGGGCTTTTTATTTTGACGAGGCTAAAAAGGCATTGATTTCATTTTACATTTTAATAGTAGTATGTTTTTTCATGTTTAGATACATATCTAGCATGTAGGCATACCCTGTGACAATGTATATTGAGGCTATATTTTTTTTTAAAGGTGAACTTACTTCTCTTAAGAAACAATCATTGGTTTGATTATGATCACATATCAGTCTCTTTAAATTCAACAACATATTCTTGTAGCATGTCATAGTAATATTTATAATTTTTTGATGTCTAAGATAATCATTAAAAACCATTGCAAATAGTTAGGCAAAAAAAAAAAAAAAAACAAAAAAACAAAACAAAACAGTTACAATTTTAACTACTCCCTTAGATGATATTTTGCACCTTACCAGCAATTTCACATTGAAAGAGAATAGTGTACTTAATTTCATGAGCAAGCTATATAGGAAAATAAGATAGATTAATATAGATCAAGTATATAAGTTTAGTCTTTCATTGTTATTTAACTGGACTAATCACTGTCTGGTTTATTTACTTATAAAAATCCAAGATTGGAAGCAGATCTTTGCATGCCAGTTTTCATACCAAAAATGTTTTTTTTGTGAGTACACTGAATAATATGCCTTTTTGTGGTATTTAACTGTAGAAAAAAATATTGGCATTATTTTAATAACATTAAGTTCACATGGACCACTATCATTAGCTTTATATTAGTGTTCACAAACATTTTTATATATTTCTTATTATCTAAATATATCTTAACTATATTATTTCCTTAATACTATTCAGCTTTTTAAAAGACCATAATATTTACAACAATAGTACATTACTACAGCCATTCCCAAAGAAACTTTGCCCAATATGCTTTTAATTCTTGGTACCAATTTCTACCTTTTAATATTTGTTAAATGTGGCTTTTTTTGTTTTCTGAGTTCTGGCAGCTGACTAAAGGTACATTAATGGCAAACAGGATTTATCTGAGTGTTTAATTTTATTTAGAAGCCTGTAAAATGTTATCCTAGATTATAAAATTATTTTTAGTGCCTTCTGATATTAAACCATAGGCTTAAAACACAGAAATAAATTCCTCATGAATAAATTTCAAAAATTTTACTTTTACATTTTAGCATTGTTAGCTTTATAAACTATAAATTAAAAAAATTCAATGTTCATCATATGCAGTATTTTGAAATCCTATTGATAGACATATCAAGATATGCAATAAGTAATGAAAGTTTAGAATCTGGCTTCCAAAGATTAGTTAATATCAAATGTCTTTTTAGCTCTGGCCTCAGGATTGTGTTCAAAGGTATGAGTGACAGGAGAAGGAAAAAAAAAAGTTTAGGTATGTGTGCTTTATCTAACTGTGATTACTCAATTTAACCAGTGTTCGGTGAGCAAAGTGTAATTCTTGACAAATACAGAGCGAGAGAGAGAAGGGGGGATGGGGGAGAGGAAGAGAGGGAGAGGGGAGTTCATCTGGGCTATGCTACTTAAAAAAAAAAAAATTTAAAAAAGCACCAAGAAAATCAAGCAAAAGGCACAGAGGATAGAAGACCTGATTATCAGAACTTTCAAAAAAGAAACTAACATTTATTTGAAAAGTAAATGATAAAATCTGACAACATAGTTTAAGCATAATAATTACATAAAGATTTAGATGATGAAAGCAGAAATAAGCTACTGGAAGATGTTTCACTAAAACAATTCCCATGAATGTTTCACAACAGCATAGATCTTTGTTACTTTTCTTCATAGTTCCTTACATGCCTCAATGGTCTGACCAAAAAATTCTACTCTAAATGTCTCTCAATTTAATAGTGTCTTGCTTAGAGCTGCTACTTTAACAAAAAAGAAACCCAACAAGAGCCATATGTAACCTTTGGACTCCAAAAGGAGAAAGATGAGAATGACATTGGCAGATAGGTGCTACAGAAACAGTGTATTCTTTCTCTTGCATCTTACCTTGAACATTTCTTGATAGTTAACAAGAAAGTTGACCTCCGCATCATTATTTAGAATCACAATAGGACAGTTACAATGTTCAGCATGTGACATTTCAGTTAGGAAATGATGCAAATTTAAAGTTTATCTATCTTGGAACCAACAATTTATTGAACAAGCTAGCACATTTACACAGCACCTTTTGCAAAACAGAGTTAAATATTTAGCAACGAAAGTCAAAGGATTGACTTGATTTTAGTATGTAAAGTAAAACTTTCTGAAATACTAAAAAGCAACTCACTTGTAATCATTTTTTTCTTCTTCAGAAGCAATAATCCCTTCTGTCACTGTCTTCAGCTCTGCCTGGGGTTTTCTACTGTTCTGTTCTTGGCGAACTGTTTCTGCTATTTGCTCAGTTAGCTGCTCTTGAGTAGCTTTCAAGCTGGATTCCATTAGAAGAAGTTTTTCATCTTGACTGGCAAGTTCTTGGGCTGAAAGATAAAACAAGAACATTGCCTTTTAAAAAACCAAGCTAATGTTTTTTTTTTTTCTTTTGTTTTTGGTTTAAATAATATGCAGTGCAACTTTGAGGAAGATTTAAATAGATCCTTCTTGTCAAAATACAAGCTCGTGCTTTCAATTTTCACAAGTAAACAAAGGTATGTGTGAAGGAATACAAGATGCAGGTCCATAATCTCGTTTATAAAGCGCTTGAATTAAAACATTAGATGTCTGAATCAGACAACAATTTGCTGCCTTTAATTGTGAGATTTCTGTTGCTACATTTATAACAGAGTAACATTAATACAAAGTATTCTTTTTCTTTCTTTAACATAGGCCTCAGGTATATTTATTTATAGTCACATAGACAAAGGCTGATACGTTATAAATTATGCCAAAATGATGGCTCTTCACTGATTTATTTTCATGTATAATATTTATGAAATTTAAGCACTTTTTCAAGGTCATCCAATAGATGGCACTCTTTCATTAGACCAAAGCAGACTTAGGCAATATGCTTCAAGCTCTCAAAAAATAAGTGATTTAAGACAAAGACATTTTTCCTTTGTTCTTTGTTGACCGTATTCCTAGAGATATATATCTGTACATTGTGTTAGAATATTTCCCCTTTATAAAAGTATTTATCTGGTTTTTTTTTCCCTATTTGCCTCAAATGCATGCCATCAAATGTAAATGTTTTTTATTTTATTTCTTTAATCATATGTTTGGATATATATTTATATACATTATGTTATATAGGGCATTTTTGGATCTTTTTAAATCTCACTGGATATATAATCCATTGCATTAAAGATCATGATATTTTGTGAAAATCAGTCTTTTCAATCATGCAGTCCAAAATGAAGAAAAAAAGAAGAAATATTTTTAAGATCCTCAAATCAACATAAACAGAAATGGAGAAGGCCATATTTTTATAAAAAAAGAGCATCTTCCCTTTTAATGATTCTCATTTTATGTCCAAAAAATGGTGTTTATACTAAGCTTCAACAAAGTTAGAAACCAAGGTATTACAGTCTTACATCAGAGGTATCTTTTACAGGCAACCTCATAAAGAAGATACTCTATATAAATATTCTACATTTATCACTCATCTTTGAAGTTGAATGATGTCTCCCTTATAAATTAGATCTAAGAATATCTGGTTCTCAGCTTCTCTTTATAGATTTTGAGCAACTGACTGCTTATATTTTAATAAATATGTGCATGCATGTTCACTTTGTTTTCTTGCAAGTGTTCAAAATGACCAGTTTTGCCCCAGAAGAAATTACAGCATCTACTATTTTTATAGCTTAAACCTGCTATATATTAACAGTTTAAATTTGTGCCTCAGGAAACCACAGAGCTAACGCAAACAGCTAAATATTTAACAAGGAAGAATGCATCACCCAGAGCTCATCTTTATTAAATTCCAAATACATCGAAATCTCTCTGAACAAATGAGTTAAATGTTTAATAATTTCAACACATGTTAAAATGTGGGGGAAAAAATCCAATAAAGGACTTACAATGAGTTTGCTTTCAAGATTAAAAAAAAAAATCCTTCAAGCTTAAAATATATGTAAAGGCACTCTAGCCTTCCCTGTTCTTGACCAATAAAAAATGTACTCAAATGAAAACAATTGATATTTTTGTAGTGATATGTTTTTAGCATTGTTGATATAGCTGCAAAACTAATTTGAGTGAAGTATTTCATTTTCTCTGCTTTTTCAGCTTTCAAAATATGTATTTCTTATGAAAAAAGAAAACCACACCAAAACTTTTTAAATGAGTTTTGAGGAGAATTTTCAGACATTGAAATTGAGCGGTTTAATGGTCTTGAAGTTAAAAGGACTTTGAGCGATCGGGCCACATACAAATGACTATGGATATCAGAACCCTTCAGGAAGTTTCTTTTTTGAAGAATCTACTTGTACCAATAGATTGACTTCTAGACTACTTGACTCACCTTGTGGCACATGCACAAAAAAGACCTTTTGTCAACTATGCATGATGTGAATTTTCTATGAAGTTTGCCGATTTTGAAATGACTAAGAGATTTATGCCTCACGGTTCTCCTAAGAGTCTACTCTAATTCATTATGTGCTGGTTAAAGGGGGTAAATTATTTTAAGTTTACCTATACCTTGGACTTGAGCCCGAGTTGATCCCAAGCCAGAGGCGCTCGCAGCTGCATGCTTTATTTACAATCCCTTTGTCAGACTTACAACTGCCCCAGGCTACAACATAGTGTACCTAATGTTCAAACTGGCAGGTAATCTTATGTCAAACATACTTCTTTGATTTAAAGTGATCAATAGATTCTTGTAAAGAGGTAATTTCTCTGATGTTTCCACCTTGCCTTTTTTACAGGTGATTCACACAAAAGCCTGCTTATATGATGTACGAACAATAAACAGAAAGCTATAATCATGTTTTTTCAGATGTTTCCGGTGCACAACGATTTTGGATCGATACACTGTGTAATACAATTATCTGCAATGATCTGGTTGTATTGAAAAAGAATTTGCAGGAGACCTCTAGGGGGTTTTATCCAGAAACACGTATCTGGCAATGTTGTGAATAGTGGAAGGAAAAATTAAGGGGTTGACAAACGCTGTCTATTATGTACCCAGTAACTTCATTAATATTTTATTTCATAAAAGTATTACACTACAAAGTTTAGACAAACAAGCTCAAAAGTAATAATGATAATAATGCTCTCAGCTTCATACTATTTGTTTATATGGAACAACAGCAAAAAACCCTTAACGAACATGTGGTCTTAGATTAAATGTTGTGCGAATATCATATGCCACAGATCATAAGCAATATTGAAATAAATTCTCGTATTTCTATCTTATCTAAGTCATATAAATACTAGTGGATGTGAAATACCTTGATGCTTCTTCAACTTTTTTTTTTTTTTACTAGAATGGTAAAATTCTAGACTGAGGATCAACTTGAATTGTTCAAGAGCACTGTATATTAAGCCCTTTATTTCAAGCCCCCCCCCCATGAAGATTTGCAACATCAGGGAAAGAGCTAAGATATACAGTCTGTATCCAAAAGACATTACGCATTTTCTGCAAAGATCTCTGTGTGTAGAAACAACTCAGTTTTGTTTTTATGGTTCTCTTGAAGATGCTGACTCTTTGCAGCATCTACCTCAAAGCCCCAAACGATCCACATTTCCTATTTTGAGCTTTTAATCACATACCGGTGATGTGAAATTCTCTTTGATCAGGCTAGAACAGATTACATTCTGGTGAGGCTCACAATTTGGGGGACACTGGTCTCTCTCACAAAGGCCTGCTCTATGCAGATTCTGCAGGTCCCCATCTGGCCGCTGCAGACCTGATCTAATGATAGAGATCGCTCTTTCGGATGCTTTCCTCCCTGTATATCCTGGATGCTTGCTTTCAGTCTCCTGACCACACTGTCGAGGCTCATCACCTTATCCACTTGGACTTTGATGGCTTCCTGTGCCTGCAGGAGACCAGCTTCTGACTTTCTTAGAAAGTCCTATCTTTTGCGTATCGCCTGTGAAGACAAAAAGCATTCCAATAGTGCCTCTTATGATGTACTTTTTATATTGCATCCTGCTATTTTGAGCTATAGGATACTGGAGATTATACAGCCCCTCATTAGCAACTGGGTCAAGTATCCACATCTCTTTTAGGATCAAAACCTTAAAGGGACTCTCTTAAAAAAAAAAAAAAAGTCAGTTGGAAGGAAGAGTCACCATTAGTTTAAATGCAGTGTTAATCAATATGTAAAGGTTCAAAAGCTAAAGAAAATATTTCCCATAGTTCTTAGGGAATTAAAAAGGAGACTAGTTGGATCAAAATGAATTCTTCCTCTTTAAAATATGAAGAAAAATTTAATGAATACAAAAAGTGTATTTGATCTCTTTGAGTTAACACCTATGTAGCTCTTTCATTTAGTTCTAAAGCAAACTAATGTGACATAGGGAAATCCCTTCACCATAAAGATAATGATGATAGCCTCCTAATGACTTCTCCACACCACTTAAACTAATTAGCTTTATAAGAATACAATGTTTGTCACTTTCTTTTTCAGTTTTATCATCTTTTTAACACACCATGCCTCAGCTTTAAATCTGAGCGGGAAAAGACGTTAAATATAATCAAAGAACAAAATGATAAACGAACGTGCTTCTTTAGAGTAAAATGCACTAAACTTTCCTGGTGCTGATTTTGTATCCATCAATATGGTATTCCTGGCTGGGCTTTTTTATTGGCTTCCTGCCACACCTTGACTCTCTATCATGCTCCATCATGCTTCTTTTAATCTGAATATTTAGTGTTCTTTCATGTCTTAATTACAGCAAATTGCGACACGGTTGGCACCATTTCTTGAAATTAATCCCAGAGTACTTTGTTTCTGTCAAGCAGTCAAAGCCTTGGAGAATAATAGTAAATGTTATTGCAGATCTAAATTTAAATGACTGTCTATGTATTTAACTTAAGCCTTTAATTATTCGTGCCGAACTGTTTTTGGTTCAATGTTAAACATTATTCATTGAGAATGTAGAATTACTTTAGACAGCTTAAAACCTGCAGATATGTTTGGCTATAATTTGAACACAACAATTATTTATATTAACATGTTTTCTCGGGTGTACAAAACTTAGTAAAAGGCATGTGATAGCTTCTTATAGATATATATTTCAACATTCCATCACTTCTGTCATTATTAATAAAAGGTATGGATTTAGGCCCACTCAATTCTAAATGGCTTTTCCCCAGTGAATTGTTAAATTGTAAACTGAACTAAAAAAAAAAAAAAATGACTCGGTCTTATTATTGCTGATGTCTTTAAATAATTCTAGATAATGAAGCACTTCAAAAGTTCTTACAAACCTAAGAGTTACACCATTTTGTCTGGTGGTTTTCTATGGAAAACTTAAAGGTCCTAGAACTCTCAATGGCCAATTCTTTCATTCCTCAATTCTGAGCAGGTTCTACAAA